CAACAAGGCACTCATCCCCAGAGGACTTCTCAGATTTATTCCCGCCTTCAGCTATGGCAATAGTAGACAACCAATGGTTTGGACATGCAGCCAAAGTCAGAAATCAACAATGATTGTTATCGTAACTATTCTCTGAGCATAGGCAGGCTAGAAATGTATGGGTATATCTGGCGGTCCTCAGCGGACTGAAGAGGCAGGTCTCAGCTCATTTGCCAAATGATTATATTCTTCTACAAGACATTATTCTCATTGTATGAGGGACGCTGGACCTGCTTCCCAGCAGGTGCTGCTCCCCACCAATAGATTGGAGCCACGAACCAAGTTGCTAGGAGTGATGGGGCATACCATCACTCCTAGCAAACCTGGTGGGTGTATTTAAAAAAAAAAAAAAAAAAAAAAAGTTGGCCTTTTATTTTTTCTTTTTCTTTTTTTTTCTTTTTTTCCGGCCCAGGTACCCACTAAGAGCACCCTGGGGGGCCAAGTCCCACAAGCGGGGGTTTAGTTTAGAATCCTAGTACAGAATGACATGAGTGCCACGCTATTGCAATTGGATCCACCAGATCTGACACCCAGACATAGGGGGTTTAGAAAATTTTAATTAAAATGCCAAAGAAAAAAAATAAAATAATAAATCCGATTGTAGTAATGCAAGTGACTTAGGTGTCAATTCCTTCTTTTTGGAAAAAAAATCGAAGTTGGTGTCGGAAGGGTAATGCGCGAGGCTGTTGTGCTTGTGAACACTGACGTTTTCCTCATTTTATGTAAAGAGGGTGCAATTGACTGATTAGAATTGTCCTTTGGGGTGTCGTTTGTTAAAAGTGGAACAATACAAAGAAGAAGATTAGCCGCTTCCTTTCTTTTAAAGAACAAAGAAAAGGTGTTGTTCTTTCAGTGTGTTTGGGTGGTCATTCGTGCATGTGTTGTCAATTTGTCACAAAATTTCATGCATGTTACATTTGCATTGATTGTTGAGTCATTAGAGTCATGATTACCGACATTTGTGCATGTGTTGCGCTGTGGGTGTGTGTGATGAATTTGACATTCAATTAAGTGTATGATCTTCTCCAGCTATCAACTTTCTTTGGCGCCTTAGGAGCATTGCTCGTTTCATGTTGTGTTAGGGTGATGACGTTTTGTGTGTGCATGTTGGATTCGCAGGGGCTGCTATGGAGATGTAAAGGCATTGCCTTTTTAATGTTTGAAAAGGGGACTACAGCCTCTAACACTATAATTAAAGCCGACAGGATTTGAACTCTTGATATGGCTTTGATCAATAGGAAGGTGTGTGCCATGCAGCCATATGTAGGTACATCAAAGGAATTTGTCTAAAGGCTTCACCTTTTCGACCTTTCGGTGATGCCTCAGGTGTTGCTTTCCTCAGTGCGTTTGAGCGGTCGTTTGTATATTTTGCTACTTTTACATTGTCGGTGTTGTGATTGTTGTGTCCATTTTGTTGTAGGGAACTTGGAATAAGGACAGCAAAATCCGCTGAAGACGATCCCGAGAACTTCAAAGTTATGGCTAATTTAATGTTCGATACAAAGGCGGTCCCGAACATGAATGCAATGAACCCTTTCACAGAGGAATGCACTCTTCGAACCAATCCTGTGCAGGTGAGGAATTGCAAATTTCAGCCCACGCGGCGTGCGCCAAGCAAAGCACAACCCTAAAAGAAGACCATATCACTTGCTTCCCCGAGCCCATAATGCCTTGAGAGAAGCAAACAATTCTTATGCTGTGACGATAGATCAGCATAGATTTCACAGTCGTGCATGAACACAAACGTAAGCAGAAAAAATGATAAAGATTACACCTTTATTGTCAGAAATGCCCGCAACATTCTTAAAGATTGCACCTTCACTGGCAAAGTCCCCAAACATCATGAAAGATGGCACCTTTATTATCGCAATGGCTATGAAATACGAGGATGATACGAAAAGATCGTAACTTTATTATGGTAAGCCTTCAACATTTCACCACTACCCTTGCCCTGGGAGTCCTGAGCTGAACCCTGCAAGCCCTGAGCCTTAGACCCTAAAGCCCAAATCCTAAGCCCTGCACTTTACACTCTGTCATATAAGGTTAGGAAACCTACACTTATTCTTGCGAACGCTCTTAACTCAGACCGTAAACCCTAGTAGCTAATTTCCAAGCTTCAACCCTATGCCGTACACCTTTACTCAGACCCTTAACCCTAGTTCCTTCGCCCTGATCTCTAATTTCCCTAAACCCTTATCCCTAAACCATAGACGCCCTTCACCCTAGTTCCTCGCCATAATCTCTACTTTCTAGTCCCTAAATCTTAATCCCTGAGCCCTAAACCCAAACTACCATAATCTCTGCTTCCTAGTTGTTAAACCTTCATCCCTAAACCCTAAACCCTAAACCCTAACTACCATAATCTCTACTTCCTAATCCCTAAACCTTAATCCCCAAACCGTAGACCCTAACTATCGAACCCTGTCCTCACGACCCAGAGTACTAAGCCCATGAACCCTAACCCTAGATCCCAATGCTTAAGCCTTACTAAATATTAAGCCCTAAGGGGCCTGAACCCTAAACCCTAAACCCTAAGCTGCACCAAATGTGTCACTTCTTTTGCCTGTGGTGTCAGGCCCTCACCTCATCTCATGCAATTTCTTTGTGCTACTATGTGTGTTTTACTATTTTTTATTTGAATTTTTAATAACCTTTTATGTGTCATTGTTAGTTTATAGCGCTAGCAAACCAGTTGAATCTTTTTTTTTTGTTTTGCAAAGCAAGGCAATCCTCTTTTCTTTTTGTTGTTAGTGGAAGTCTGGATTTTTTTTTTTTTTTAAATGGAATCGGGGATGCTATCAGGGATGAAACCAAGACAATGGACAACAAAATAATTCTATTTTCGGGCATTATGGAACCAAGACAAGGGAAAACAAAATTATGGGACCAAAAGAAGGGACCACGGAAATTCACATCAGTGGACAACTGTTGTATGCTGATCATTGAAACAGTTTTCACCTTTGGCAGTAGCCGATGCAGATCCCAGGGGTCGATCCCTTGACCTCAGCTTACCTGTGTACAGTATCTGCACAGTTCCCTGGAGTTGAACCCGTGACCTGCACGATAGCCAGTGGTAAGTAGGTCGCCGTAGGTTGTAGGCTGTAGGGAGATTCAAACTGTAGACCTGTAAGGTAGGAGTCCAAGTAGAGTCCAGAGGCCTAGCTTTAGTCCTTCTAGAAGGTCGGCAAGTGGTCAAGTGGTGAGTCTAAGGTAGGCCCACGTTTTCAGACGAAGACAAGTGGCAAGGTCAACAGGTAGGACCTCAGTGCAACTGCACTGAGTCGACGGTACGATTGCCTACAGTCAGCAGAAGGGTCTAGAGAGTCCCAGTCCAGTCCAGCAAGTACCACAGGGGGACTGTGAGCACCAAGGGCCGAAGGTAAAGGGCAGACCAACGAATTTCTGAAGTATAAATCAAGAGGCAGCGCCCAGCCATTCATTCATTCCTGCGTGAGCCATGCGGAAGCGCTGCCACAGCGACTTGTGCAAGGAGGTCTGCAGATGAGCCCGGAGGACGCAGTGGGCAAGAGAGGAGGAGTTAGATAGCGATAGGTTAGAGGCAGCCATAGCTGCCATAGCTGTAGTTAGTAGTGAGTGTGTGTGTGTGCTCGAGTGTTAGAGTGATGCGTGTGGGATATCCAGGGTGATCCAGTGTATGTGAACAGTGAGATGTTTGTGCGCTGAGGTCGCCATAGCCAATTGGGAGTGAACTCGTATCTGAAAACCATATCTCTGAGTTTTGAGTGGGCGCATGTCGCCAGTGTGCTGCGTTACTGTTTACATGTGTGAAAAGTGTGTTTGAAAATGAATCTGATTGCATCATCCTCTTCTTCTTTTTTTTTTTTCTTTTTTTTTTTTGTGTATGATGATCATCCTAAAGGGCGTAAACCTGTAAACCTGCCGAGGGAAAGATATTATTTTTCAAACTTCATTTTGCAAGCAATTTCATTTATTTTTCTTTCACGCACACACAATTAAAGATGAAATTGTATTGAACTCTGAAATTGATTAAATATAAATAATAAATACTTCTATCATATATTCTTTCTTGAGTCAACAGAGAGGTCAAAGTAATCTCCTTTTACAAAAAAAATGACTTAAATCATCGAACCCTTTTTCTCATTACGCCCAATAGGATTCGAACCTATGCTAGAGATTTAGAAGATCTCTGTCCTATCAACATAAATGTAAGTCTGTAACATTGGCCTCAATCATTATTATTATTATTATTATTATTATTATTATTATTATTATTATTGTTTAAAGCTATATTCTTCTCTCAATTTCACCTCACACTACCTACCTACCACCACTCCTAATTGTAGGCATACGGGGAACCCCGTAGCAGCCAGAACCGTGTTCACGAGAGAACATGCGGGGGCTGCTCCCGACCTGCAGGTGGGTGATACCGGCTAGGGGACAGCCAGTAGCATCAGGGACCATGCCAACAGGACCGATCCCCTGTGCCTATATATCTATATACTTATTGAAGACTAACGCGGGTCTGACGTAAGCGGCGTAACTGGTCCACGCAAAACCCGGGTTGCTGTGGGACCTCGGCCTTCTGAATCACAGGACCAGGGCTGTGAATCTTTAGCGCATTGTTTGCCGCGGTTCCAGCCTCTGTTTTTGTGGTGCTTCCCTGCTCCCCGGCTGCTCATCCACTTGTGCCTTGTGTTGCCTTGCTACTGGCCCCCGCTCGCCTTCATGCCCACCTGCCTACCCCCGCCGACCCGCCCTTTGGCTTATCGCTGCCCACTTTGCATTGCCACTTGTCTTGTCCACTAGCAACAGGGGTTGAAGTAGACTACCATCTTCACTAGAATAGAATGCCTAGTCATTATAGCCACATCTAGACTCAATTTTGACCCAAATACAGCTATAATGACCGGGCGTTGTCAAAGCATCAATATGTATGGGGCTTCTGCAGACTGTCGAGGGTTCAGCCTCCCAATGAGGGCTCAAAAGGGCGGGCCGACCCAAATTGCCAATCTGAGTCTCTATCTAGAAAGGGTGGCACACACACACACACACACACACACACACACACACACACACACACAAAAGGAAGAAAAAAAAGCCAAAAAAAATAAATTGAAAAGTAGGTTACTAAGTTCTGTAGAGCACAGTTTTTTCAGCATCATGCAACAGGACAGGTTGGGACATGAATGACCATGAGTGACATGATTATAGTTCTGGCCTGTTCTCTCTCTCTCTCTCTGTATCTATCTATATATCTATATATCTATGATTCTATATATAGATATATCTTCTGTGCATGTGTGTGTGTTGTCATATTCGCTATATATACACTCGAAAAAGACATGACTGTGCCAGACTGTTTCGTCGGACTTCCACCGACTCATCAGGAGGTTGTACCCCGACAGTCTGGCCAGGATGCATTTGACTGATGGATAAGGACTCACCACATCGCCGAGGCCCCAGAGTTAGCAACACCCCAAAGAGAGAAAAGTGGTTGACTTTACTCACACCAACCTTGCAATCCTAGCACAGGCTAGCAGACTGCCGGTCCAAACCTTTGACAAGTCTAAGAACGGTAGTAAGTCCGAGAAACTAATCTGACACAGTCATAAAACCCACTCTACACACCCGCTCAGCCATGGACGCCCAATGGCATGACTGCTAGTACAGTCCCGACCCTAGCCGCATCGATCCGCCTCAACAGAGAGCCTAGCAAGGCCGTGTGTGCTTTGTTTTCAGCACAAGATATTACCCCCCCCAAAAACAATTGATATCTTGCAAGTACACACTGGGAAGTAGTATAAGCAAAAACAAAAACATAAAAATGCCTAAAAAAACATTATTAAAGGAAAAAAAAAACACTTGTAATTAAGTTCAATGTAACAAAAATCTGCAGACTCGCAAGGACAGTCTGTAACTGACTGCTATGTGTATGTGTTCAGCGGACCTTTTCGCTTCCATTTGCAGCATATACTATAACAACCTGCGGTGCACCACGTACGCATACGCGTACGACCTGAAAAACCCACGTACTCGCACTTTTTTCTTCTTTTTTTTTTTGGTACATATATGTGCGTGTTGTGCACTGGCCATGGATCCTGGGCGGTTGTGCACCCAGAAACGATATGTTCGCGCAGCGGGGCACAACGCAACACCGTTGGATCCCGTGCGTTTGCGACTGTGTGCAAGACTGCACAGCATGTGTTTGCATTGGGGGCACAGTGCGACATCGGGGGGGGGGGGGGGGAGAGATAATGGCACACACACATGCTGTACTTGGCAACTTGCACACACACACACACACACACACAGTCTTGTTCTGATGCCACTGTGATGTTCTGCTGAGCATCACGGTGGCATCAGAACAAGACTGTGTGTGTGTGTGTGTGTGTGTGTGTGTGTGTGTGTGTGTGTGTGTGTGTGTCCAGGAGGAGGAAAAGGGCGACGAGGATCCGTCGCAGCTCAGGTTGACTCTCTCTCTCTCTCTCTATCTCTCTCTCTCTCTTTCTCTCTCTCTCTCTCTCTCACACACACACACACACACACACACCCCTCCGATGATGGCGATGAGGCCGTCGCAATTGCTTGGCAGCAGCTTCAGGTCGACGAGCGATGGTGGCGATGTTGGTGACAGGGACCTTGTCGACGATGGGGACGATGGCGACCGCGGGTTGGATGCGACGATGGCAAAAGTGAGGAGAGGGGGGGGGGATGGAGGTGGTGTGGGCAGGAAACTGGGCCCGTTCGAAATCGAATGACCACCGATTTCCCTGGCCCGCCCCACCTCCACCCTCTCTCCGCCGCAGTAGCCCGTCCCCCCCCTTTCCCGCCCCCCTCCTCGGTAGTCGAAGCCCCACCCCAAAATGGTCAAAAAGAGGCCTGTACACCGGTCTGTATGTCACGTACGCGGACCCCGCGTACAGGTACACGGTGCAACGCACATAACAACAAATAAATAAATATAAATAGAATCACCTGATAGCTCTTTTTGGGAATATTTCATGTTGTTTTTGACAGAATTGCTCGTGTGTGCACTGCACATTGTTTTTATTCCAGGCATTCCCTCAGGAGCTCTTCTTCCTGCTCCGCACGACACAGTTGCTGAGAGGTCTGACGGCTGGTATGGCGGTAGAGTGGTCCATCGTCGACAATTGGTGCCCTCTGGCGAAGCAGGTTTTGTTGCAGGGCTAAGATGATGTCTAATTGTTGATGGAGTGCAGCTCCCCACCAATAGATGGAGTGGAATTAGAAAAAAAAGAAAAAAGAAAAAAAAAGATGTCTAATTATTGATGAACAGTTTTCTGGTCAGGGAAGCCCATCTAGACTGCTGATCAACGGGTCGCGACAGCCATGCAGATCCCTGATCAGCGGTCGCAGTCCACAAATGGTGGGGAGAGCGGGGAAGGGAGGGCAGGAGGCCGTCGACGGTTTTTCATCTACTTGTTCAAAACAAGGAGATGCGACAGATCACCAGAGATGCGACGGATCACGAGAGATGCGACGAATCATCCGACTACGACTCCTCTAAAAAATTCTCTTTGGCGTATTATGTGACCTGGGCAACAAAGGATTGATTGACAAAAAAGTTCTGAAACGGCAGCTTAGCTAAGAGTGGACGATCCGAGAATCGCCACCAACGGAACGCCGAAAGATCGCCGGAGTTTCACCGAAGGATCACCGTAGGATCAGCAGACAGAACTCCGGCCAATAACTCTTGGTTGGTTCAGAATCGCCGAGCGGAGGACGATAATCATAATGGGCCAAAGGGGATACAAATTATTATAAACTATTATAAAGTAATTATTATGGACGGGTAACTAATGAAAAAGAAAAAAAAAAAGAAGGCCAAAAAAAGGGAAGAATTTTTTTTTTTTTTTTTTTGACAGGTCTCAGTCTCAGAGTTGGATTCTGGGAGAGGGGGTGAAAAATTTAAGAAAGCGTTGGTGTGTGGCTTCAGTGGAGGAAAAAATAGTTCGATTTAAGAAGTTTCAGTTCGAGAATTGGCGATGAATAGTGGAGGAAAAAATAGTTCGATTTAAGAAGTTTCAGTTCGAGAATTGGCGATGAATAGAATGCGAGCTGCCGAAAAGTCTTATAAAACCCTTAGTCGGTTCAAAAAAAAAAAAAAAAAAAAAAAAGAAGAAGAAGAAGAAGAAGAAGAAGAAATGCGAGCCGCCAATGGAATTGACGTTGGGAAGCCTTGAGCATGAAGGTGGTCTGTCCGATTTCTGCAAGTAGTTCTACCAACAACTTGTACCAACTTCATTTTTATTTTTTATTTCTATTTTGTTTTTTAATTGTTTTGTGCCGCAGGGTTTCCAGTAGTTGTAATTCTTTTTTCGATTCAGAAATTCAGCTTTCAGTTTGCCAAGTGCGAAAACCGAACATGCAATTTCAATATTTTTCATAAATTTTAAATTTATTAATTTCATTAATGTCATTACTATCGTTAATTTCAGTAAGTTAATGTCCCGTTGTTCCATGTGCTCTTATGAATTTTTTGGTACTTTTGCAAAAAAAATAAAAAAAATAAAAAAATTGAATTGCTGGTTTGTTACTTCTTTGCAATACAATTTTCAAAGGGATTCTTGAAAAAAATAAAATTCAAAGGGCTGCATGTGGACTCCACCCATATTTATTTAGAGGATGTTCGCATCAGGGATTTCCGGAATGTATCTGGTCGTAATGACAGCCTGATCTAGATGTATCTGACCGAAAACACGCCCAGAGCGCAGTCAAAAAATGGTCCTATGTCAGTGTCAGCATACCCTTACCCCACACATGGGACTCTGCAGGTCTCTTTACTTTGCAGAAATTAATGACAAAGTAAGAACTTAAGAAGGGCATTGGGATTTAAGTATCATTTTAGAACATTATATTACTAAACCCCCCCCCCCCCCAAAAAAAAAACCTTACAATTAACTTAAATTAAGTTTAATGTAACAAAAATCTGCAGATTCCCAAGGAGGGTCCCTAACTGACGGCTAGACGCAATCGATAAATAATAATATAATTATAAATTATTAAAAAAAAACATGTGTTTTGAACGCGTGACTCTTGAGTAGATCATAAAATGATTTGAAGCTTGAATTGGAAGAGAGACATTAACTCAAATATAATCATTATAATGTATTTAGACGTCTTAATTTCACAGCGTAAGTACATCATGGAGCTCGCGTACCTGTGAGCTACAGACCTTCTACCTCCGACTGCTCTGAGGTAATAAATGATTTGAATCGGATTTTGAATTTCCATTGTTTGTGATTAGATGACAACCAAAATCCAAAAAAAAAAAATACAACTAGTCACATGATTCACATCAGTGTTCCGTTCAGCCACGTGGCAGGTACAAGGCATACTCTGAGAAGACTAGTACTTTCTTCACCCAAATACAAGGTATGGTCATTCTAGTTGTATTTGGGATATCTTTCAGTCTAAGCACAGAAATAATGACCGCACATTGTACTCGGTGAAGAAGGTAGCAAGATCAGCATGGCCCTTGACATGGATAATATGCAGGAATTGAGAAAAAAAAAACCGGTGACGCGAAAAGGGAGTTCAAACCTGACAATCACTTTAAACATATTGAAATTAATAAAAATATTCAGAAAAAAAAAAAAAAACCTGTGAAATAAAAAGAGAAAGAGCTAGAGAGAGGCACATATCAGTATCAAAGCATGGTAGAGAAAATAGAATTGCAAATAATAATATCTAAAGATTCTAAGCCACAGCGCAAATCCTGAGACAAGCATGTGGGTATTATCCCACCTTGGTGTGTTCCCTAGGTAGGCATGCACACGGCGTAGGAGACGGCCCCTCAGCAAGGATGACACGCGTAGATCAACATATGGGTAGCAAACGTACTGGTGGTTGAAGAAGGAAAATAAAAAATCAAAGAAAAGCATATGCTTCTGATATTTCCTTTTCAATTAATTCGGCGACAAGCGGAACTAATCTCCCCTGTTCATTGAGAGCCTTCGCCAAACGATGATCGTTGATTGGGTGCGTCACGACCTGCACCTGCAGCAGACAGCGTAAACCAACATGAAAGCTATTTTAACAAATTGTTATTACTATTAAGAACTAGGCTACCAGCCGAGCTGCCCGGGTCCCGGGTGGCCAGCCGGGGGCAAGGTCCCACTTGCGCAAATTAGGAGATTTCGGCCGTTGATCTTTGCTATCTACGGTCAGTATCTCTTAATTCGTGCAAGTGGGACCTAGCC